ACATTTTCCGATGAACCGCGGGTTACCGACAAAGGTTGCTCGCGTGGATCAATATGACGGGTTTTCCGGCGTGGATCGCTGACCTGGGCGGGGTCTACCGCCGTCAAGCATCGCCAGCGGTTACCGACGCCGGCCAGCATGACAGTAACCCGCTGGGGGCAGATCATACATCGAGGACGCAGATCGTCGCGCGGGTCACAGGCAGCCCCAGCACCTGGAGCTGCCAGCACCGCCACCTGTTCCGTGTGCCCTGACGGCTGGCGGCGGCTGACGGGTCGTTTGACGGGTGGTCGTCGGCCGGCGAGGCGGCCAGACCCATCGGTCACCCCACAGCCTGCGTGCCGCAGCCGCGCACTTGGCCGCCGCCGCCGGGCAAGACACCGCACTTCCGCGTTGCAGGGCGGCGGCTGAGTCGCCGGCTGGGTCTTATCAGGCCGCGGCCGGCCGGCCGGGTCAGCAGTGCCGGCGTTGGATGGTCACACAGTTAGCAGCGCCGGCGCCGAGTGCTCACACAGTCGGCAGCGGCGCTGTCCGGCCGACCGGCCCGCTGTTTGTGCGGCGGCAGCGGCGGCAGTCGGACCGGCTCGTAAACTTGTTTTTGGAGGCGGCGGGCGCGCCGCTGAGCTCGCCGCCAGCCGGTGAAAGGAAGCGGTCGGCAGGGCGGCGACCCGACGCCCGCGCCGTCGGAAAAACGGCGCAATCGGTCGTCGTAGAGCTGCCGAACGGAGCGGGCAGCCCGCTAACCGGGGCGCGCCGAAACCAATTTCCTGTGAGCAGGCGACGGCCGGCGATGAGCGCCGAGACTGTGCCATTGTGGCCATTGTAGCGCAGTGCGGAGGAGGCCGGCGCACTTCCGCCGCTTTGAGTCCTTTGGTGACAGTCTAATTCGGGCGGTGGCGACAGCCGACAGGTGATATTGAACGTTCCGCATATCAGACCGCATCGGATGGCTTGTACCCAAGGCAAGTTGTTATCAAAATAAACCTCACGGGTTCGTACGGATATGTTCTGCCCGATATTGTCCGTGGGCGTGCCCAAAATCCCTCCAAAACGTGAGTTTCGTGAAGAAAAAAAGTCCACAACGTGAACAGATGGCGTAAATCAGGTCCTCTACGCATGGTGATCTGTGGCCAGGCGTAGACCTAGCTCAACTCACCCGCGGTGGCGGCCTCACCATGCGTCCGTAAGAAGGCGGGTACAGTGTTCAGACGCGTCCATTGATAGCAGGCCCCCGTGCGGTGTGATAGCCACTGAACAATCATAGCAAACGGCGCATCGCTTCGACAGACTGTCATGGGAGCTGTTCAGACAGGAACTCGTTTCAGGAAACTCGATTACAAGGAGTCTGGGGGTGAACCCGCGAATCAATGACAACATGGCGGGCATGGCTGTATGTGGATGGAGAACGTGTGGATGGAGCTGCTTATTGCAAAACGGTATAAATGTGACATGCACAGAGCGTCGTGACTTGAATCACGCGGCTTCGGGGCTTGATCTACGGCGGCCAGGTCCGACTCGCCCTGCGCACGTGGGGGCGCAGGAGGCGTCTCCGCCGGCGCCGGCCGGCCCCGGCCGGGTCCCGCCGCCAGGTGACGGGTGACACGCTTCGCCTGGCGCCTCGCCGGCACGCTAACGAGCGCCGTGCGTGGTGCCGGCGTCGCGACGGGCCGCAGCCGCTGCCAGCCGCCGCGCGCTGACGACCCGGCTTTGTCTCGCCGCGCCGCGTCGCGCGCCGAGATCGTCTCCGCGCCGCCCCGCGCCGCAACTGGGTCAGCGCGTTGGCCAAGCGTCCCGAGACCTTCGAGCCTGAGAACTTTGGCTGAGTGACGAGGGAGCTGGAGCCGGCACGGCACTTCCTGCCGCGCTCAGCCGCCTCCCATTCCGCGTCGGGCGCGGGATCAAACGGAATAACGGCCGCAATTGTGCCAGCCGCCACTTTGACAGCTGGGGTTTGATTCGGCGCGTTGGCACGCAAGCGGCGCCGCCCCGCCCGGCCCCGCCCCGCCCCGCGCCGACACAGCAGGCCGCGTGCCGCCCGGCGTGAAAGCCAGTTCCCACACTTGCAGCGCGGCGTGCCACGCAGCCTCTCATGGGACCCAGTCACGCGCTTGGGGCGGGTCAACAGTGCTCTCGGCCGGCCGGCGGCCAGTCGAACCCCGCATGGCGCAAATGACGACCGGTCACCCGGTCGTAGCCGGTCTCGCCCCCGTTCGGTCTCGGAAGCGCCGGCCGGGGCGGAGCGCTGCGGGGCGCGTGGCCGACCTTCGGCTGCACGATTACGATAGCCGGGCGGACGCCGTGACGGAATCGACCGCCGGAACCGCGCTCGGTCCGCGCGCTAACCGCAGGCGCGCCAAAACACCAAGGGCGCCGCGCTGCGCCACGTTTTGGCGCGGCCCGAGGCCGTTTGAAAAGAGCTCCTGCCGTGGCTGATGGCAGTTTTTCCTTCGGTTTTCCGCAAGTCACGCCAGAAACAGCCAGGAAAGCAACAGGTGACAGGGAGTTTAAAATTAACATCACGCTCTAAATCTGCTGTATATTTGCTTTGCTGGAGCCTATGACAGGCATACAGCAATAGCTAACCAAAGGGGAAAACAGGTCGTTGATAACAAAAACATTGTTTTGTCTTTTGCCGCATTGAGAATACGAAAAAAGCTATTTTCCGCTGCTTTCATTTTTCCTAACAAAAGCGACGGCCACACGCACGCACCAGAAGCTCATCACTACAAACAATATGTTTTTGAATCTGTTAATACAGGGTATGTCGAAATATTGTTAGGTTTGTGCTTGTCGCTCGACGTTAGACCGTGACCAGTGAGGCCGCCATCATGGCTGCCGCACGGCCAGGCATACTAACGGCGTTCAGTCACAGATCACAGGGAAAAAGGCAATGTAACAAAACGACTACAGCAATGAACGAGCTCCATCAGGAAAGAAAGATTCAAAATGAAATAGAAGCTTTTGAAGCGTTTAACCACAATAATGCTTATAGACTAATACCGTTGAGACGGATACTTCAGATACCTGGGAGACACTGATACGCTGACTTCTGTACACATGGCGGAGGACGAACAAACCAACAAAAACATCCCTAACTGGAACGTTTAAAGCGCACCTAAGGAAGCATTTCGCGAGCTTCGAAACGATTCATAATTGAATCAAAATGTGCCGCGAACTGCGCTTTATTCGCCTGGACAGGTACAACTGAGGTAGGTATAGTGAGTCCCAAATCCTACAAAGGAGCTATGGAAATCCCCGCGGCGGTATCAAATTCCACAAATTACAGGGCCGGCATCCCAGCTGAATTCCCGCGTTGTAGTCGGTCCACTGGCGATGCAGTGAAGCACGTGCACCTGGCCGATTTCCAACTGTCACCGGCGAATGCCTAACGGGCCAATCTTTCGACGTGCCTTTCATAAGGCGGATCAACGGTCCCGACCCCCGGCTAAGCGCAGGGTGCCAGGTGCCCCTTCAGGTGGGCCGTTGTAATTGGAGGGTGCCGGGGGGGGGGGGGGCATATCTTGACCCGCGCACTAGGAAAGGGACCAATCAGTTCCCACGCAGGCACCAGTGGTATGCTAGCAGGTATCGGATGTGTAGCATGCAGTGCTAGATATCCGATAAAACATCGTAAAGGGAGATAAAGGAAGATAGAAAACTTTCGCAAATCACGTGAACTTCACGTCCGCATTCCGGCCTCCCGTCACCGCCCGTAGAGCGAGAACAGGCAGGTGGGTGGGGGTGGGGGAGGGGAGCGTGACGGTCCCGCCGCGCCCGTCACGGTCGTCACCTGCCGCCAGTGTCACGGCAGCCCCAGCCAGCCGCCGTGACGGTCCGTCGGCGTGACTCACGGCGGCCCAGCTGGCGGTGTCACGACAGATCGCCATGGCAACCAACCGGCAGACGGCGCCGCGGCTACAGCGGCCGCCATCACGCAGTCACGGGCCGTTACCATGGTGACCACACCTCAGACGGGGCAGTGCCCTGGAATGGGGCTGGCGCTACTCAAGGTCGATATTATGCTCTCCCATCGGTTTTTGGAGCGATCACAAGAGGCTGCCTTTTTGTGATCAGTCGGGTGCCTCCTCAGCGTCGGCCTTAGGCGCGGGATTACATGAGCACGCACGACAGGCCTGCCCGACCGTGAATTATGCGCCCCTGACGAGTGACGAGAGACGTGGCCGCCACCGCAGCGAACACATCCATCACACGGCGCCGACTGCCGCTGCGACTGCCGCTGATGTGGACAACTTGGCACATGAACAGCGGGCGTCACCGGCTGTAGCGGGCCGCCGCCACGCCAGCCTCGTGCGTGCGGACGCGCCGGCGCCGGTGCAGCGGCGGCCGTGCCGCCACACAGGGCGTACCTGGGCCGGCCGGACGTGTCGCCATCAACCGCCCGCCCCACGCACAATGCGACGGCTTTCTCGGCGCCGCCTGCAGTGGACGCTGCCGGACGCCGCCAATCTGATACGGCGCTCTGAATGGACGCCGACCGGCAGGGCGGACGCTGGCCCGGCGTGGTCGCCGGGGGGGGGGGGGGGGGGAGATGGCCCACCCCGGTCACACAGGCTGAGCAGTGGCACCAGACGGGGCTGCCCTACTCCGCTGGGACCTAGGAGCCACCGACCAGCCGACATTGGCAGGGCGGCCGTGAATACAGGGAGCAAATACGCGGGAGGAATACTACAACCGCAGAGAAAGGAAAATTAACAAAACTAGTGTGCCTGCGTTTTGTAAACTTCCCGAAAACCACCAAAATGCTGCTGTCAACTCAGACCCACTAACCGCGCCGCATTTGGTCCCATAACCAACATGCCGCTGCTGCGGAGAGCTCGTCGATGCAACTTTACCGGGCAGCGGGTGCGCACGGTACAATGAAGGAGAGAATAGGGGTGTGGGAGTGACAATATTTGCGTAACGTTGTGTTGTTGTCCCGGCTGCTTGCGTCCGCCAATGTCCCTTAAGAAAGACCCCATGACAGCTTCGGGAGCTCCAAGATGTTGTCTAAGACGACAGTAAGTGTGTCTCTGTCATGACCAGAAATGCCAACAAATAACACGGACGGTGTTTTCAAAAACAGCCAAGTGGAAGATGGGCAAGAGATAAGAGTTTTACACTTGCCCCCCAATGTCGCGGGAGGAGACAAGTGTTTCCTGAGTTATGGGAGTTGAATAATTCACATTGATGCATCGCACAAGCCATCTATGAGTATTAATGGCCGTCTTTAAGTCGGGTTTTAATCGACGACGACCCAAGTGGGAGTGTCACGCAGCTATAAACTACAAGCGCCTGCCACGGGGCTGCACCATATGCCGGCCGTGCGCCCCACACTCAGCTGCGTGTAACCGTCGGGAGCTTGATCCCAGCACAGCACTCTGCAGCCGTCGGAAGCTGGCCCCCAGCACACCGCTCTGCCAGCCGTCGGAAGCTGGCCCCAGCACACCGCTCTGCAGCCGTCGGAAGCTGGTCCCAGCACAGCATTCTGTAGCCGTCGGGAGCTGGTCCCAAGCACAGCATTCTGCGGCCGTCGGGAGCTGGTCCCAGCACAGCACCCTTCAGCTGTCGGGAGCTGGTCCCAACACGCCCTCTTCGACAACTCAATGGAGCCCTCGGCCGTCTCGGCTGACGTACAGTGGAAAAGATAATCTCGGCTGGCTCGAGCCACAGCGGGGGAGGGGAGGCAGCCGGCTGACGGGCGCAGCAGAAATGGCGCATTATCACAGCCCGGTCTGAAACGAAATTCATTATCGTAGAGCTAAGCAAGCTTCTTAGAATTGGATGTGTTGGCTTGGATGCGCCTCAGTGCTTTTCATCTGGTATAGATTATGCAGAAAATCAAACGAGGATGCTCCGGCAAAGAGAAAGACAAGAAACAATTAGGAAGAACCGGCGCAATGTGTCTAGATAAGAACGTCAAAGGTGCTCGGATGACAGTGCTGTCGACAGGCAAATGGTAATTTATCGCTGTATTTATGGCCAATTCAAACCTCTAGTAACGCTCTCAGCTTAGCGATGACAAGAAAAATGCACGGATTTTCTCGTCAGCAACACAGCAATGTCGTCTCTACCATAGCCGGCCGCGATGACTTCTTGTTACGGGTCGCATCTGCCCCAGCTGATCTTTTATCAGGCCAAAATCTGAAGGCCGCATCAGATCACTTCCGCGCCTGAACGACGCGGGAGTGTCAATTTAGAGACAAAGCCGGCAGCACCTCTCGGTCGGTTCAAACTTATCGCAGGTCGATGATGAAAACAATGACGATGTGAAGGAAAACGTCGGCCCGCACAAAAATAGCAGATGAAGCCAGCTCAGCGAAAAGGGCCGAGACGGAGAGGAAGATGCAGCGACAAATGAAAATGAGAAAAATGAAAAGAGGTTGGCCGGGTGGCTCTTATACGTCGGCGTCGACGAATGCTCTTTAGAGCAAATAATGCACTGCACGACAGAAGTAAAGAAGCGAGCACGAGCCATCCAATACAGTTCTTTGAGATGTGCGCGAGTACCTTGCTGCATATGATTACGAAGCTTTCCAAAACGAAAATATGCGCATGGAAGTGCAGCCACATAATTGTTTAATCTCCCTCCCACTTCCCAAATTTTGGCCAACAAAAGCAAAAGACAAACCTTTGTGCGTTTGCGTGAATGCACTGCGCGCTCATTGAACAGGTCGGATGATAATGACTATTGTTATTTTGACTTTTGGGCGCACCGACTACAATGGCGCGTCCAATTACTGAAGCCCTTAGATGATTGACTACCTTCGCATTACTACACATGGTTCGGTACGGTCCACGCATCTGCGTTCTGTTACGTCTTCCACGGCGGCAGAATCGGACGACAGCCGGCAGCACGCCGGTATCCTACCGCACATATCCCAAATAGTTATACCTCGATTTTAGCGAGCACACGAGTCTCCACTGCCGCCGATGTTGGCCGCAGCGGCGAAAGCCCAGGGAGTGGCGTCCTTCGAGTAGATCCTCCCATTCAGCCGAAAGTGCATCGTTCCAGCTGAAGACAAGGCGGTCGTGACCGGTTCGCCGTTCACAAATCCCCGCGCCGCCCACGACCGTCTGAATGGCGCACGGAAGCTGGGGTCCGAAGCGGACCGACAAGTCCGCGTGACAGGACGACAGCCGTGCACGTGTCCGCGTGCGGACGACGGCAGCGCGCGCGGCACGAGGGCGAGGATGGGCGGTGGGGAGGGGCGCTGAGACGTGACGCTCAGCGGCAGGCGTGCCGCCGCGCCGCCGCGAGTAGTACATGCCCCCGAGCCGCGCCCCCGCCACCGCCGCCCCGCGCGGGTAGTGCCCGCCGCTGCCGGTGTGCGGCGCCACCGGCGCCTAGGAAAACCGGCCCAGCAGCGCGTGACTCACCGGGCTGTCGCGGCGGCGCCAGACCGGACGGCACAATGGGGAGGCGGCGCGCGCCGCCGCCCGCCCGCCGACGTGTGAGAGCCCCCCGTCGGAGTCGGCCGCGCACGCTGCGGGCTGCTCAACCCGGCCCATGGGTGTGCTCAGGCCCACTACACTGGTAACAGGACGGCGCTGCAGACTCCCGATTGCTAGCGGGAATCAGGCAGAGCCGCGGATGTCTTTCAGACTCCTTCTCCTGCCGCTGCACGGCTGCTCAGCCTCGCTTCGCACTTTGTCATGCAGCGGCTGGACGTGACAACCGCAGGAGCTATCTCGGCGTCCCTCACTGGCGCCGCGGCCTGGCAAGGCCCGCCGTACCGCTCGGGATGCCGGGACCCCCCTCCCTCCCCCCCTTCACGGCGTGAATCACTGGTCAACCAGCGATGGGTCCCCAGCTCGTGGACACGACCCGCTTGTAAACACGGCCGCGATTAGCGGCGGGCCGACTGGCTGGGCGGGGCTGTGTTTACCGTGGAGTGGCCGCGGCCGCCCCCCGCCCGCCGTCCGCCGGCATCGATTCTCCACCGACTCGCGCCGCCGCCGCCGCCGTGGCCCTCGGCGCTGTTGACGGGGGAGGCAGAGACGAGCGAGCATAGCGACGCCCTGGGCCTGGCCAGGACCAGGCGAGCGCCGCGGCCTTGCAGAGCTGCTGGGTCTAAGAGATGAACTTTTTAACACACCGTCATTAACTCTCCTCTGAACATTAATGGAGTTTGTTCGAACTTCCAAGCCCCTGCTTCTGAGACAATTCTCAGGACCAGAGCTGGGACTGCCTCGCCACCATCCACATCCCTCCTGAACGCCAACACATAGCCTCCTCGTCATCGCGGCCGACCCCAGCCAAATTCCAGCCGTGAGTGATAGGCACGGCGTCAGCGACGCCCTACAACTTGCGGGGCGCAGCACCGAGCCAGGCCCAACGCAACACATCGGCGCGCTACAGCTGGCGGGGCGCTGCGCCGAGCTGGGCCCAACGCAACACATCGGCAACCTACAGCTGGCGGGGCGCATCGCCGAGCTGGGCCCAACTCAACACATCGGCGCCCTACAGCTGGCGGGGCGCAGCGCCGAGCTGGGCCCAACTCAACACATCGGCGCCCTACAGCTGGCGGGGCGCAGCGCCGAGCTGGGCTCAACTCAACACATCGGCGCCCTACAGCTGGCGGGGCGCAGCGCCGAGCTGG